CTCCCATCCTTTGCGCGCAACTTTTTCTTCAACCTTCCTTTTACTGAAGGAAAAGCTTGAAAGATACAGGGAATAGGTCCAAGGATAAAAAGGACAGGTTGAAGAGTAAAAAGGAAGGTTGAAAGATGGACAGGTTGAACGATAGAAAGCAAAGGTTGTAGGATAAAAAGGAAAGGTTGAAGGGTAGAAAGATAAAAGTGAAGAAAGAAAAGGTTGAAGGATGATAGAAAAGTACAAAGAAACGGTTGAATGATAGAAGGAAAAGGTTGAAGGATAGAAAGGACGATTGAATGATAAAAAGGAAACATTGAATGATAGAGAGGAAAGGTTGAAGGATTGAAAGGAAAGATTGAAGGATAGAAACGAAAGGATAAATAGGGAAGATTGAAGGATAGAAAGGAAAGATTGAGGGATGATAAGGAATGATTGAATGATATTAAAAGGAATTATTCGATGGAAGGAAAAGGTTTATATTTATTCGTTCGTTGTTGGAACTATCGCTTAAATATAAATATATATATATAAATTATTGCAAATATTTTCTATAGAATCAATATTACGATAATATTATAGATAATAATTTAGATTTTAAAGGAATATTTTGATATATAGAAAATAGAATATATAATGATAAAAAAAAAATATATATTGTAAGATATCAAAATATTAAAAAAATATTATATAATTAATATAATATGTTTAAATATAATAAAAAAATATATATTTAAAAAAAAAAATATATTTAATTACAAATATAATCTAATGAATATTGATATATCGATATTAATATATTAATCTATAGATCTAAATAAATATAGGAATTATGGTGTTATTATATCGAGAATATTGACTAAGGTCCGGAAAAAAATTGATATATTTTTATAAATATATTAATTATTAAAATTATATTTACAAATTATTTAATAATAATCGAGGAAAGGATTTAAATGATTTTATATATTGAATTGATTAATAATTAAATTATTATACAATTTGGAATTGTATAATTGATTATATTTTTACTTTAATTTATGGAAATTAAATATATTATGGATGATTTTGAATTATATTAGGGAAAATATTAATAATCGAAATAAAAATTAAAATAATGCGATTTAATTTATTTATTAATATTATATCGAATATTAAATAATATAAAAAAAAATTACGGTATTAATATAAAATCTAAATATATATATATTTAATTTATATTGAAAATTATTTATTTATATATTTATGAAGAATTTTTTTTGGAATATAATTTGTTTTTTTAATATTGAAATTAATAATTATATTTGGATAATCGAATTATTTCTGAATATTTCGCTATTTTGTATAGTTAACGATTTGGCGGAGGAATGGATTGATTGCATTATTATTATTATTGATGTGAATTTTACAGGTACGATATTAAAATAGATTTATTAATAAATGTATGTTTGATATAATTTTTGAATGCTAAATTAATGCATAGGAATTGCACCTTGCTTCGAAATATATTTTGGGTGATTATTGCCATTTTATTTGATTAAATTAATTTGAAGATATTCTTTGTTTCTAACGAGAATGATTTTTGATGCCAAAATGCCCTAGATATGTCTAGATGCAAATGCCTACGATCCAATATGGGCAATCGACAGAGATTAGAAACAGATGAAATAGGAATTAATATATTATAAATAATGAAATGAATATATATTATAATTTGATTTATTTTTTGATATATATATATAACAGATTCTTTCATTAATATATTGAATATATAAATTATTTTATCTATTTTATATTGAATATATATATATTTTTTTTAAATATTATCTTAGCTTAGATTTAATAACCATTTCTATTTCCTTTACTTGCCGCTACTTGTTTCGCTTTGGATTTTTTTATTTCCCTCATATATATGGATTCATTTTGTGTTATTATAAGTATTTGTTAATATTATTAATTGAATATTCGGGTCCCTCTATATGCTTTGATTTTTATCATGATATTTATAATATCTAGCACGAGGGCCGTCCAGGTCACCTCGGGCTTGGATAGGAATGGAACGGCACCATTGGACACCAAATCTGATTCCACGAAATTGCACGAGATATGGGCGTGGAGAGGCCTTAACCTAGTGACTACCCGGCCGCGCATTGCGCAACTGAAATATGCTTCAAAAATGAATTTATGTTTGCTTTAGATTTTTCCTGGCGCTTCAAGGAGGCCTTTCGCAAACAACAGATTGCGTCCATTCAATCAATTCCTAGGACCGTATTTCCTGGAATACGTTGTATGTCGCGGAAACCTCGAAAACATTGGTCGATTAATATTGTTGTATTGGGGTGCTACCCAACCGCTGGACGTTTTCGTCCTTCAGTCAATAGGTTGGGCTATGAATGCTATTTGATTAATCTTGATTGGAATTATATCCATCCCGCCGATAGGCAAGCATCCACTTTGGTGCTGATCAGAACCAACTTAGCAAGCTTGGATTAGATAGTTTCAGCGGCACACACCGACGGCCGCCCGGTTCGTTATGTGTGTGTCGTGGTTTTGGGACGGTGGATGGGAGAATGAATTTAGGACGACGTATTGCGTAATATAGCATTTGGAGAGATTGATAAATTTATGCATAATTATATTGATAATGGTATTTTGGGGGCATTAGATATGATTATATTAATAGGATATATTTTTTAGGATATTGATTCGAAAATATAACTATTTAATAAATTTTAGCTTAAAAATCGCTTTTGGTGATTGGGAGTTGTTTTTAAATGTGTGATGGAATATTATTTTTATTGTAATTAAATAATATATAATGGTTTATTGTTTTTCCAATGGTGGAGGGCAATATACGATTATTTGGTATGGTGAGAATGGTGGCAGATGATATGGAATATTATTGATTTGATATATTCATTTTAATGATCCGAGATATCAAAAATAGGACCGGCACGACCAATCCGGACCACTATGATCGTCATCTGGAGAATATATTTATATTTTTGGACCTAAATATCTCGGCATTCACGATCTTAAAAATTGCAACGATTATACCTATTATTCGCGATTACAAAATCTATAACAATTACGCCTATTATTAATATTGGCTAGATTGATGTTTGGTCTCGAAAAGTGGCGACTAACGAATTAATTTATGATGATGATCAGAAAATATGGGTGGATCGAAAGGGCCGTAATTGACAATGATAGTATATGATAGTGCACACAATGATGCGATAATTACGCAATGAATATTTAATCGAATAATAGGTTAGGAATCGATTTGTCGCGTAAATGGCTACTAAAAACCGATCTATTGGCAATAGGCACGATATTTTCCTGAATCGTATTCAATCGAGGATAAATTTTAATATTGATATGTTCTTTAAATCGAAAGAAATTCATAAAGGCATGGATATAATGAAAACAAATGGGTTTCCCTCCTTAGACATCCTTCAAAAAACAAAGATATCTTCAATTTCATATAATATTCCATGAACGATTTTCAAATGCCATTTGAATTTATCCAAAGATTATTGAATCCGTTATTATTATCTTTAAATATGGATCCACGGTGTTGGCTCATACAATCTTTCAAAACAAAAATATTGGATTTATATATGAAATGAATAGGGGATCTGGCCATGGTCCGGGGGTGCGTCTGGATCATATTAATGATGATTTTACATAATTTATGAAATCCACGCCAAACTAATCGTGGTGAAATTATATTCTTTATATAATTTGAATTTCGTAACCAATGGATGGGTATTACTAAAATAAATTATGATTTGATATGTCGAATACATCCCAAATAACAGAAGAAGGATGCAAGAAGGCAGGTGCATTCCGGCGGATCACTCGAAAAATGATAACCAATTTTTGCATAATAATTTAAAGATCAAATATATATAATTTAAAATAAAACATATTGAAAATCTATTAGGATATCCAATGCTTGAAGATGGAATAAATTCATCCATCAGAGGGGGATATCATTTACATAAATTACGATATATTTTCATAGCAATTCAAAGGAAAATAAATTAAAGGTCAACCAAATTTAATTTAATGATTAATATCCAAAGGAACGACATATTCTCTGTTATTTGTTTAATTCCCCAATAAATTATAACACGAATCCAAATTATATAGGTCCAATGTCCTAAGATTAAATTATTGCTTGATAATATCGATTTTTTTTTAAATCCAAATAAATTTATAAATAATTTTAAAAGATAGAATAATATTTTTATATTTTGATTATTGATTAATATAAGTTTCGAATAATTCATCAATATTACATATAATTAATAATTTATTTATATTAAATGCCGCCATTTTCTAATTAACAAATTCGTAAATTTAAATCGGATTTAAACATTAAATAGGGTTTTATTCGCTATGGAAAGAAATAAAAATATATCAATTAAAAAATTATATAAATATTCAATATCAATAAATTATAAATATATAAATATATTATATATATTAATTTCCTATAAACATTCAAATATTCATTCCGAAATTAATCAAGTCAAATTAATATATTTATTAAATCGATTTATAAAATATATTTCTATATTAAATAAATATTACGCATTATTTGAAATAATATATATTTCGACGAAATAAACAAATTCAATATTAAAGAATATTTATAACATTAATATTTCCAAATATATTAATTTCATCAATTCAAATATAATTCTTTAAATTAAATACACATAATAAATAACATATTTTCAATATAGATTATATATAATCAATTATAATATATAATCAATAAAATTATCAATAAATAATATACTAAACATGTTTTTTTTTTTATATAAATTAATAAATTTATATATTCAAATATTGAATTATCACATAATTGTTATATACATATTCTTTAAACAATATAGGATTTATAAAATATATACGACATTAAATTTTAATCATATGAATGTTCATGAAAAAGGTTACAAATCATTCAAATTCAAATTTAAATATTTATAGATTTTGGTCAATCCATTGTTGATGCTTTCAACCAAGGAAACCATTTCTTCAAAATTTCGGGGCTTCCGTACCAAGGTTTGGTCAAACGTTCCTCTGCAAGCTTCGCGCTTGGCCCAAACGCAGGATATACAGGCGCATGACTGACGTTCTCCAAGACCATTTTATCCTCAGATAAAAACGACCAAAGCAGTAGACATCTTCAACAAAGGTGGGCGCGTACGTGAACGGTTGAATGAATGAAGGTAAACAATGAATATGGTTACCAAGTTATTAAGGCAATGAATTGGAAGAGGTGGCTAAGTTCCACCCCACTATTTCTTTCTGTAAGCAAGACTCCGATATTCTGCTCTAATAGTTCTGCTTACATGGGAGGCATGTAAACACGGTGATGCAAACAACGCGGAAGAGAAGAAGACAAACAGCAACTCAAAAAAAGAGTACGGGCACACATGCTACAAAAATCTCCAATGAACTCAAGCATAACAGAACCTTTTCGAAATTCATGGAGAGCAGGAGTCAGGAGACACGGCTCAAGAGAAAGCGTGTCAAACGCAAACTCCGCAGCTGGACACTAGGCGAAGGAGAGAAGTGCTGCAAAGTAGTGTCCCTGTCAGTGTGCATTCCTGAAACAGCCTACATTTCTGCCACTCTGTGCAAGCTTGAGTTCCAGACATCGCGAAGACACGACTCCCACGTGGTGGCTTACACACAACATGGCGTGTGCGTTGATGAAACTGACACGCTGGCCGCATGTCGACCTACGGGGAACAAGGTGGCAAATACAAGGTTCAATAGAACAGTGGGACAAGAAACATGGCGGCCGCGGCCACGACCTCGTCTTCCTTTCCCTACCTGCTTGCGCAACAAATGCACCAGCATCAAAGAAACCAACTGATTCGTTCTTCAGGCTCATCGATCGTGTCGCGTTCCTGCGCCAGCCAATGCCAAACAGCTGAGCAAAAACGCCGTGCGCAAGACCCTTCAAAGCGGCACGCTTGTCAGATCTTGTCAGCAATTCAGCGATGGGAGGTCGAGACAAGCTAAATGTAGTAAATCATACGAACTGCTCTGCGTACGCCCCTTAACAGCCCGCATTTTGCCGTGTGCAACATGGTCTTGTAGCAAAACTCTCTAAAACTCAGGTGTTTCACTTTACCAACACTGTTTCTTCCAGCGACGCCACGCCCTTTGCAGGACTACTGTCAGTTCATGTTCTGTTCCTTCTTTTCACAGCTGCCGATGCGGTCTTGGAACTGCTAGGTCCAAGGACATGTTTCCGCATGGGTTCAGCATCTGTCACCAAAACCAAAAAAGTCCTTCTTATAGAGATGCCGGGCTTCAAAGGCCATGCTCACTGCGCGCGTTTCACGCAGCACTCTAGGCTCATCCCAGGAACGGCTTGTTTGCCTGTTCATGCTGGAAAAGGAAAATGCGTTATTATACTCAGGGCCAACATCTAAAGGAAAGTGTAGTGCTGCGCGCACCCATGCTGCAGACCCCAGCGACAATTACACGATTGCCTCCACGCTGCAGTCCAAGGTTCAGGTGCCGGTTCTAACCCCTTTGTCGAAGGGTATGACGAACACGGCATGTATTGTGGAGGCTGACAGGAAGTCGAAGGATTGCCCCAAGAAGCGTAGCACCATAGAAACACGAGGAAGTTCTGAAAGCATTCGCGTTAGGTTCAATTTCATGCCAGCTGGACAGGCCTCAAAGGGACTTGGACACTTGTTGGTAATGACTCCATCCGAGGACGCAAAGCTTCACCTGCAGGATCTTTGCAACCTGGTCACACTGTTGCCGAACATCATGGAGAAGCAGACCCGCGCGCCAGTCCTTCAACAGCAAGACCCGCAGGCAGGTCTTGGGGAGGGGGCTGGCTGTCAGGAAAAGATCTCCAAAGATGTCACCCACCTTTGCCCTTTTGGTCCTTTCCATGGCCTTCAAGGTGAAATGTCCAAAAGCCCTGTCCTGACATTGCGATATGTCTTCAACCAGGACGCATTCCTGATGATGCGCTCTCGATTTGAACACGTTTTTATTACCATTTTGCAAACCACTCACGACCATTCCTAGCAAAAAGCTCGTCATCAATGCGCTTGTCAGAGTCCAGCTCCTACCTTGCCACTGTTCTCTCGAAGGTTGCGAGTTCTGACTCAAAGTCAATCACTGCTTGCAAAAATTATGCTTAGGAGTGCTCTTCAAATCAACAGCTGGTATCGCTCTGCTGATCTTTCTCGGTGCGCTCAATTGTTTTTGCTAGGCGCCGTTTCGCCCACTTAGCTGCCACTGGGCGATTCTTCTGTGTCACTTGTCAAAACCACATTATGGGCCCTCTGTGCCGCGCCTTGTCTAGCCTTTTCTTTGGGAGTGTCAACCAAGTCAATGCGCTCTGTGTACCTTTTGCTGTTCTTCCACATCTTCCTGATTTTGCAATCGAAAATAGTCTTGTCTTGCCTTGGCAATCTAGTGTGGTGAGCCTCGCGCCTTCAACTGAACAGCCTTGCCTCTTTGGCTTCGTGCTCCCCAACTGCACTGCGATTGAGCTCAACGCTTCTCAGTCAGGTTGTTGATGGCGGGGGGGGAGCGTCACTGAAGTCTGCGAGTGGGTGCATCCTCTTGATTGGACTTCTTGATGGAAATCTAGGCCTTCTTGGTAGAGGATCTCTGCTTGCCTCTTGCCTCTTGCGATGTGTGCACGCACGCTCGTCGCTGACCTGTGGCAACCCTGTGGCAACCCTGCTTCTTCTTTGCTAGAATCTTCTCACCTGCAAACGGTACTCCTCTACTGCCTAGAGAATCCTGAAACGTGCCCTGCAATGCTCATGTGAAACTGGACAAGCATTTTAGGGTTACCGTTCCATGGTGCACTTCTTCTATGGCTCCCCCAAGCTCGGCGGTCGTGGGGCCACCCGCTGACCAACGGAGATGCTCCGCGATCTTTGCCCAAGGGCGCTCGAGTTCAGACGGGGCTACATAAGGGTGAGGGATCAAAAAGTAGAAACGATCAGCATCAAAAAAGTCAAGAGAGATCAAACAGATCAGGGTCAAACAAAAAATATTCACAGCAAAGAAACAGAGAATGGGGAAAGGACAGTAGTAGTAGCAGTAGTAGCAGTAGTAGTAGTAGTCGTAGTCGTAGTCGTGGTCGTAGTAGTCGTAGTAGTCGTCGTAGTCGTAGTCGTAGTCATAGTCGTAGTCGTAGCCGTAGTAGTAGTCGTATAGTCGTAGTCGTCGTGCTGGTCGTAGTAGTCGTAGTAGTAGTAGTAGTAGCAGCAGCAGTAGTAGTAGTAGTATGGGGTAGGGCGTCATACTAAGCGAAGGTTTCTGGCTGCCACGCTAGGCGAAGGTGGGCCTTATCATCCATCTTGTGGCAGCGTCAACGCAAAGAAGATAGTAGTTGTGGCAACTGTGGTAAGACTCGTAGTGGGGTGGGGTGGTCGGAGTGATAGAGGTACTAGTGATAGTGGGGGTGGTGGATGGCAGTGGGAACTATAAATTACGGAGGGGGTGCGGGGGAGGGTGCAGCGCCTCTCCCGCAATGCAAATCAAGTATAGACAGCGCTGGGCTGCTTCGTTTCTTGGTTTGTTAAACGGGCATCACAGCTCAAGGTGAAGGTCTTATCATTCAACTTTGTGGGGTTGTCAGAGCTGAGCCTACACTTTCATTCACCTTTGCGGCGTTGCGAAGGCTAAGCGAAGGTGGGCCTTATCATCCACCTTTGTGGCAGTGTCAACGCAAAGAAGATAGAAGTTGTGGTAACTGTGGTAAGACTGGTGTTGGAGGTACTGGTAATAGCAGGGGTAGTGGCAACTATTACAAAAAAGCGGGAGGGGGTAATACCCTACCAGCAAGCTAGCACCCCACTGGGAAGCTATCTCTCTCTCTCTCTCTACTAGGGAGCTACCAAGACTGAAGGACCATAAGACCAGCGGACTAGGAGACCAAGGGACTAGGTCTAGGTGCCCACTACTGGACCAAGAGACCGAAGGAGCAGGGGACCAGCCGAGTAGAGACCCAAGGACCAGGGGACCAGCCGACCAAGGAATTTGGACCTAGTCACGATTATGTGTTTTGATGCTGTTTTTTTTTGCTCATGTTCTTTATCTTGTTGATCCTGTTTTTGATCCTGATGCAGCACAAGTCAAGTAACCCCATGATAGCGAAACTAGAGGTGGAATTAGCTGGTAATATCAACAGTTGTATATATATATATATATGTGTGTGTATAAAACTGACCAACCAAAATCGCTGCCCAAACCAAGAGTGTTTCCAGATCCTTCTGTATTCTGGATGAGTCTACAAATCCTCCCTACAGTATTTAGTTTCAACTAGAGACGTGCAAATGTTCTGCAACATTGGCACTATCTCTCAGCTTACCTCGAAGTCCACCCACCAAGCGTCGGCGGAGTCCAAAGCAATGGCTGAGAAAAGCGGAGTCATTCCGTCTCCATCCACGTCATCGTCCCCGGGCATGGCACCACAAAGCTCATAGGCACCACGGGTCATATCCTCAAGATGCAATGTGAAACGTAAACTCACAACAATGATCAAAGTTGATCAAACATGTATGCTTTGTGTGGCGTTAAAGCCGGCTCAGCTACACAAATTGAAATGTACCTATGTGCAGAATCTGATGGGTGAGCCCTTTCACCATGTGTTGTCTCTTGGTGTTTGCTTCAGTTAAAGTTTGTATGAAGCTTCAAACTGATATATTGAACCGCTTGCGAGAAGAGCCACCCGAACCCCATTTGTACCTACAACATCTGACATGGATCTTGAACAAACAGCCATGTACTAGGAACAAGGGCGTCACTACTAGTAACAAGGGCATTACTACTACTAGGAGCAAATAGCTAAAGAAGCTACTTGCAACGAAGGGCATTATATGGCATTATACTACTAGGAGGAGCAAGGATGCACTATGCCTATGTTTGTTCAAAGCTTTCGCCGAGCATCTGAGGCCTTGGAAAGCACGGCCCCTTTGGCTCCCACACATAAACACCGGACCCTGGCAGGTAAGGCACTTCCTTCTTCGCGCTCCAAATATTGCAGGCTCTTAAAGACCAAGTTCTCCGCCACGAAATGAGGCGAACCCAAACACACCAAGCTATGAACCTTTTTGGAACCTTTGAAGCTTCGTCCGCCGTAGTTCACGCCCGACAAGTACACGCGGGAGATCCATCCAGCGGCCGAATGAGCCACCAAGGCCACGCGGCGACCGGAGCCCGGTGAAGCGGGTGAAGCGAAGTCGTCACCCCGGGGCGTTAGGGCGGGGTAGTCGGCCGGATCATCTGTGCCGCCCACCTTCAAAATACCACCGGGATTGGTGAGGAAGTCCACCAAAAAGTCCTGAAGGGTATAACTTGGAGGTGAGATGGAGGTGGTGTTCAAGTCCTCTAAAACCTGATTCACGGCGAAATCGATGCGTTCCAGAATGGGCCGCATGCTGCGGCCTCCAACACACGGAATCCAATGCCACCAACTGATTGGAGCGACTGCAGCTCCGTAACCAGCACGTCTGAGATCCCTGGCCAAATCCTCGAAATCTTCACTACTTCCCAGAAAACCCGGTAAAATCACTGCGAAGGGCTTGTCCTTCCTTAGCTCTTGCATCAAAAGCGATTGTGGTCCCTTTTAGGCGAGGCGGGAGGCGTCGACCGTGATGTGACGGGGGTTCCTGGAGAGGAGACCAAGTACTTGATCTGACCATTCCACTCAAACAAAGGCGCCTTTTTGGGGGGGCAAGAAGTCAGGAATAGTCAGGAATAGAGTGCACTTTCTGCTGCTGGTTGTGACTGACCGCTTCCAGGACATTGCTCACCTAGTAGGTTTGACTTGCTGATATGCTGATCACTTTGATCCGTGTACACTATACAGCTTACAGTTTTACAGCATGCACAACTTCAAACGTAGGAAGCCTGATACAACCATCCAGGATGTCCAACTTGGGTTGCCGAAGTTTGCAGCAGCCTGTCAGAATGACTTGGCTGTGAAAACTGGTGCCACCTGGTGCCACCTTGTGTTGTAAGAAAAGTATAGCCAAACTCACAAGACTTTTGGTGTCCCGCTTTGGGTGACTGCAATAGTTCTCCTGAACAGAAAAGCCGCAAATGCACCCACAAACGGCTTTGAGGGTGCTTTCAGAGATCTTTTCTTTCTTTCAGGAAGCCTATGAAACGAATCGAATCGTGAATATCGAATCGGTTTTGAAACGGAAACGCTCGAAACTGAACGGACGAAAACGAACAACGAATCGGAAACGATTGAACCGATAAAATATCCGAAACGAAACGAAACGAAACGCAGCAAATACATTTGTTAAACGAAACAAACCGAACCGAAAAAAACACAAAAACGAAACGTGAAACGGCGGAAACGAAGGGCGAGAAAAATTACGAAACGGCCGAATCGCCTGGCACCCCCTGGGTCGGCGGCAGGGGTTGGAGCCTTCTCTCCTTCGGAGAGGAGAGAACGCTCCAACGGAGTTTGCTACCTGTTGCTTTACCGGCTACGGGCCATTAGAGAAAAAAGCGCAGGGAGAGACGGTGGCCCGATGGATAGCGTATGCAACCAGCGGGTTTCGATGGATGGTTCACCTTAGAATACACGTGCCAACAAATTCTTTCAACGCAGGCAAACGGTGATGGAAAGGCAATCCTGTGTGGTGATGTTTGGGGGGGACAACCTGGACAGTTAATTCAGCAGTCTTTCAGACCAGGATCAGACCCGGCTCAGACGGTGTTCTTTGGGCCGGCTGGCCTCGGCTTCTGTGTTGTCCATCCACCAGATCCAAACAAGACGTTAGGTAGAGGGCTTCCGTTTTGGGAGCGCTACACTAATCGTTTCAATCTGAAGGCTGTAAAGTGTATGGTTGCTGGCCCAAATCTACACTCGCACCTGGGCCAAAGAGGCCAAGACCAACTACAGCAACTGAATCCCAGGTCGCACCCGGCCCAACGGAACAAACACAGAACGAGCCCGCACCAACTAATTCCCAGTTTCACCCGGCCCAGACGGCGCAGACATAAAACGCTCCACAGCAAGTAAATCCCAGGTCGCACCCGGCCCAACGGGACAAACACAGAACCGGCAAGGGCGTGATAATACTCGCAACACGTGGGTAGCCTGCAGGTCACCTTGTTGCCTGGGCTTTTGTGGGTTTGAACCTAGAGTTCGAGCATGTGTGCAAGTCACACATCCCAGGGACTTTAGTAGGGAGCATTTGACTTCAACATCAATGGTGAACCTGAGCATCCAATCCAAGGGCCAGTTCCGCAACCTGCCGCTTCCAATGTTAATGTAGCGTTGCCACCAGCAAAAATATCGGAGGAGCCAGCTCTTACCCCGCAGTCTTCCAAGCAAGTCCTTGGGGGGCTTCCGTTTTGGAAGCGCTATGCCCTTTGAGATCCGGTCCTGGAGTGGATTTCTCTCAGGGCTGGTTGACCAACTTGAAAACACACACCCCAACGGGTGCACCAACAAATTCCCAGTTTGCACCTAGCCTAGTAGAAGCCATGCTTTGAGCAGGTCTGACCCTGGTCTGAAAGAGGTGTTGGGTTTACTTGGCGGGTTGCCCCTCATGCCCTCATTCCCCTGTTCTTCGTATTATACGCCCTATACCGGCCGTTCTTAGGGTGACCACCATGTATCAATGGAAGGTACCGGATTATTATATGTTGATACTGATACTGTAATAAAAATATGGCAGCGGAAACGATAAACGAATCGAAACGAACCGAAAAAAAACATGAAACGGTAAACGAACCGAACCGAGTCAAAAAACTTAAAAAATAAAACGAAACGAAACGACCCCCCCCCCAAAAAAAAAACGAAACGAAAAGGAAAGAAAAAAAAAGAAAACGAACACGAAACAAAACGTGCCTAAACCATTTAAATACGAAACTAAACGAAACGTAGGTTTCCTGTTCTTTGCTTTCGTACCCAGTTGCCCCTCATGTCCTCTTATTGAGGTCAAGCAAAACACGGCGACTGGGGGTCACCTGTTACTTTGGATGGCTTCACCAGCTTTGCACAAACATCAAATATCTATGAGGGTTTAGTTTTACCACCCAAGAATCGTCAATCACCAAGCCTTCGCCTCATCCGATCGCGAAGCTTGCCAGAAAGACAAGCCCTGGTTTCGGCCTTGGCGGGTGAGGAAAACATCGGCCAAATGTGGAAATGACTCCAAACTAGTAGCGTCCTTGCTCCTAGTATGGCCAGGAGCCCCTAGTAGCGTCCTTGCTCCTGGTACCATGGCCAGGAGCCCCTAGTAGCGTCCTTGCTCCTAGTATGGCCAGGAGCCCCCTAGCAGCGTCCTTGCTCCTAGTAGTATGGCCAGGAGCCCCTAGTAGCGTCCTTGCTCCTGGTAGTATGGCCAGGAGCCCCTAGTAGCGTCCTTGCTCCTAGTATGGCCAGGAGCCCCCTAGTAGCGTCCTTGCTCCTAGTAGTATGGCCAGGAGCCCCTAGTAGCGTCCTTGCTCCTGGAGCCCCTAGTAGCGTCCTTGCTCCTAGTAGCATGGCCAGGAGCCCCCTAGTAGCGTCCTTGCTCCTAGTATGGCCAGGAGCCCCTAGTAG